TGAATTTTTAAGATAAACGATACATTTGATGCCAATGTCACAATTACTTACACTCAGCAGGTGATGATGAAGTCTTTTGCCTGATCATGGTATGCTGCTGTGTGTAAGACTTCAGGGACTGACTAAGAGGTGCTTACTGCTGTGCTAAAGGATTTTAATTTACTTAAAATTTGGGGCATAAAAGCTTTTTCCTTTTACTGACATACATTTTATTGAATTCTAAACTGCATATTAAAGTTCATGGCTATTAAAATGACTCATTGTATATATTCATGAATACCTCCACAAAGGAGCACAAAACACACTGTACTAAGTTTTTTTTCTTAATTTCCTACATTTTTATTTCCCTTTATACTTTCAGGAAAGAGAGAACAAGATATACATTCTATTCCATAGCTATTCCACTATTTAAAAACTAGCCTTACTCTGTTAAAAACAAATCCTGATTTTATAAAGCCAAGAAATGAATTTTGACTACAGTGCTGAAGAGTCTTCAAGGGAAAGTCTCCACTCACTGGACACCTGGGATATGAATACTATGTAATACAGGGAGGTACAATTGTGAATACAGCCAACTGCACCAAAACTCGTAATAAGGCTTGTTCTTTTCCACAGATTTCTAGACACACTTGTCTTCTCACCTTCTCTTTTCCATTTTAGATCATGAAACACTGCACAGACTTGAGATGTCAAGTATGCATCATAAGACTTTCCACAGGCTTCTGTGCTTTTGCCAGGCCCTTCATTGTGGTCAAATTGTAGCTGAGGTGGTCAAAAACTTGGAAAGCAGGGCCTCAGAATAAGACAGAGTAAGACAAAAAGAAGCAGAAAAAAATTTTCAGCTTCAGATCTAAACAAATTGGTTCTGTCTCTTTTAACGTAAATTTTGACCTCTTTAGCCTCTTACAAGCTATCAGTGCTGTTAGTCCAAGACTGAAGAAAGCTTTGGGTTTGTCTACCAAGTTTTTCAGAAGCTGGCAGAAAACAAGCTAGCATTGCTGCAATGACTCTTCTAAAGCCTTTCCTTAAGGACAAAATCAATCTTTCAGGCAATGCATACTGCCAAAGTTTCTGACACCTTGTAAAGAAGACCATGGCAAGTTGTATGGACCTCAGGGGAAAAAAGAAAGAATAGGTGGTATAACAATTTGATCTGATGGTGAAAAAAACACTTTGGCTTGAGGCGTTGTTTCTGAAGAACAGCATGGTTCTCTTCTGAGATAAGTAGTTGAAAAGTCTCTATAGAGATGCATCGGTGGAACTGACATTAGTTTTCCTCATGGATCTGTCTGCTGAAGATAATTTGGCTCTAGATAGCATGTGAATAGAGCTTCTCAGACTAAGACATGCACTTAGTTACCTAGTACCATGGATGGGAACGACCATGAGAACGAGATGGTGACCATGACAGAAAATACCAAGAAACGACTCCTCGTTTCCTGCATCTAACACTATTCCTCAGCTTAAAAATCCCAATATGAGAAATATGAGTGACTCAGCTCTGATTTATATATTTGCTTGACTTTCCACTAACATGCAAGGCTGGGAAGGAGCATAATGAGATATATAATATCTCATATACATATAATGAGCTCAGATAACCTTCGAGGGAGCTAGTTCAAGAAATAAAGATTTCTTATCAACACTGCAGAAGATCCCAATACCAAAATGCTTAGCACTGAAGTAGAAGTTTCTGCACAGAGAATGAACTCCACTTGAAAGGTAAAGTTAAATCCCTGCTGCTCTAAACTTTATGAATACTGATACCAAGTATAAGAAATTAGAAATTGTTGTCACTGGAGTAGGCTATTTTATCATGACTTTTACTGAGAGGACAGTAGTTCAAAATATTGGAACAGAGTGTAACGGGAACTGGAAAGAAGATGCCAGAGAAAATATCAGGGATTGTGGGGAAGGAAACTGGTGATGGAATCATAAACACTATAAGGCTCTCTATAGGTTAAGTCCTGAGTCTTTTTTTTAATTTAAAATTAGGAGAAGACAAAAGACTTATCTACCATATTCAAGAACATCTGTGGCTTCCTTCTACATTCCTGCAAGGACTTTTAGCACAACTTCCCTCTCACATGAATATAGGTATAAAGCACTGCACAAGAATACAGTAGAAACTACCTAAAATGGCACTTCAAGGGATTTTGGAACTTGCAGGTTGATTGCATTTCAGTTCCCACCCTGCAGTTCGTGCCAAGAGCAGAGAGCACTGCTCTACATAACACTTTGGCCTTTATGGAAAATAAATGTTTATCAAACTGTGAGTTTCTCTGCTGTCAAAGAACGGATTTAGTGCAGCACACCGTGATGACTCAAGCAATGAGCACACCACATCTTGTCAAGCGACTGTCCTGCTGCAGTTGTTTGCAATCTCGTATCATTCACATGTCAACTAAAAATGGCTAAAAGGCCCTTTTGCTGTTAGATTCTGTGTTATTTTACATGAATCTACCATTTTTTCAAAACTAATGAAAGAATTTTTCATTGATGTTACATGTAATGTGTAGGCACAATGCTTACTTTCTGAGAAATTCATAACATAAGAGAGTCTCCCTCATTAGAATGTACTGCTGTTAGCATCTGAGAACAGCACCGATCTCAAATCTTCGTACTTGTTTCTATAGTGACTTGCCAGCTAGACAGATTTCACTGCACTTCCACATTGTCCCTACTGCTCTTCTTTTCTGTTTCCTCATAAGAGCTCCAGCTACTCAGTTTCTTTAAGACAAAAAAACCCCACATTCTCTCTTTCATTAGAAGCCATCAATTGGAAGACCCCAACACAAGTCTGTGGCTTCCTGAGTAAAACTGAATAGCACGAGTTTAAATATATTAGCCTTGCCTAAGCTGCACTGCTGTGTGGATAAAGTACAACACATCACATGAAGTTTGCTGAGGGACGAGCAGAGCAGCTGAGACTTAATGCATCATTATGCATCCAGATGTACTTACTTTTCACCACTGAAGACTCCCCCTATGTGCTCTGTGTGAAGACCGGCCATGTGTAAGACTTTGCCAGGATCTCCTTGCATGTGTGCGTGCTGCGTACTGTGCTCACTCACTTGTTTCTTAACACCCTAACTTCCAAACAATTAACAAATTCACTCACCTTTACATATTAAGAAAATGACAAGGTCATAGTATGTTTAGGAGAAAGATCAATAATCTGAGTAAATATTTTGATAGACTTCTTTAAAGTAGCTATTAATAGTGCACAGAAGGAGATCTCTACCTTTATTCATCAAAAAATCCATACCAACCCAAAACATAACCCTCTCCCCTAGTTTGTTCTCTTAATGAATGTAACATGAAAATCATTCACAGGTATGATCTCCTGGAAGTTCTCAAGATGCATGAGGTTGGATGGGTGGGTATTTTGGCCTACAGACCCAGCTGACTGTTGCCATTCAGGAATGAAATGATTAGGAAAGTGTTGCAAAACCAGGATGTCTAATAAATTCAACACAAATTACTGCAGTTAATCAGGCTTTTCATTAGCATATGGCTAGTTGATAAACTATTTTGAAATGTGACGTTTCCAAAGGATAATATAACAGGACTTCCAAATTTTTCAGCATATAACCGCCATTACGTGCTTAGCCTATCAGAACCAAACAACTGTGAAAACCATGAAACAACACTGGAAAAACAGAATCTGAAAAAGTAAGTGATTTAATCATAACTCAGCCCTAAAGGCAATGACCATGCAGTTGAAATAGTTAAGGTTTATCCTGTAACCATGAGAACACAAGGTGAAGGCTGTAAGATTAGCGGGCATTTTGTCTGAACAACCTCACCTTGCAACTAGCTGGCACAACACGGTGGATTTTTTAATTTTTATAAGTACTTTCCATGAAAAGGGAATGGAAATCAATTAGAATGGCAGGCTGTGAGACCTGCTGACTGGTTGCACAATAAAGGCTAAGCTATGAAGCGAAACCCTAGGAGCTGCTGCACCTTGAAATATCATAAAACTGAACAACTTCTATCTGGAGTAAATGTGATTAGTATTTCCCTTGAATAAACAGTGCATTTGGCACTGTGAGTTGTTTTAAACAGTGATTGGCATCAATGCTGCTGTGGTTGTATTAATTTTCTTTAGGGGATTCACTTAAATAACTACTAGTGTTAACTGTTAGAACTTATTTGTATTCTGATAATATTCACCATATTGTTCATGCTGTTCACCTACACAAGATAAAACTGCCCTTTTTTAAAGACTTTACAGTCTGAGATCAGTTGAATGTTGCAACACTGCAGAGAAAATTTGAGCTCAGAAATAATACATAGCATCATGATTATCAGATCAGTACTTAAATTAGGGCACAATAAACCTTGGAAGGCCAGAAATTACTGAATCAAGATAAATGCTAAAGACACATTAACCAGTACATTCTAGAAAGGAGGCACAGATCTTTGTTTTATTAAGACACTGAAATCTTTATTAATAAAGCTGGGGTTTCAATGATGCTGAAAACAATTAGACAATGAGTTCCAAAGGGAGCTGCACATGTAAATTCCTTTGTCTCATTTGAAAATCTCAGCCAACAACAATCATGTTTGGCTTAAATTATCATGTCATCACAGCAAACAAATCCATTAGTCTTTCATTCCAGGCAAGAATGAAGTGTATCTGAGAGAACAAATATGGTGGGAATGGATGTCTGCAGGTGATTTATGGGCATGTGCTGAGCTAATAAAGAAAGCAAAGTTCAGAACACCGACAGCAGTGAAGGCAAACTAGATCCTGGAAGGATAACAGTGATTGTGCAGATTATGAGAAAACAATCAGAAGTTACAGTCAACCTTCATCCTCTGAGGAAGCAAGTAAGAATCCAGTCTGTACAGAATAACTTACCATCCACTTTTTTGTTCAAGGGATATTTTTTGTGTGGAGAAACAACACATGGTTTTCTTTGCTGTGTTGGCAGTTTTTCAAACCCATCCTCTTCGTTTGAGTATTGGTAACACATAAACATGCTACTTACTCCCTCATGCTTTTCAGTTTGGTCTCAGCCATAGTGCTGTTGAGAGCTCTGAATCCCTGGGCCACCCCTGGAGACACTCTGGTGACAGTTGCTGAGCCTACAAATCAATGCACAAACACATAACCTTATTCACCTTCATCCCCTGAGCTCTATTGCAGCGTCAAAGGCAGTCAGAAGGAGGAAGACTATTCCTGTTTCCCACAAGGAAGCGCCACATTAATTAAAGATTAATTAGATTACTAAATGCACATTGAGGCCAACTCCTTTCTGAGAGACAAGTAGATTTATAGCTTAAAGGCACCAGAACTGTAACAATTTTCCTTCTATGTAGCATACAGGTAATTACATCACAACAGAAAGGACAGTCACTTGAGGAAGTGCTGGGACAGATAAATAGTCAATAAAATGAAATTTGCTTAGACAACATGAATTTTCCTTCATTGTTCTTGCACTTACTTATAAGAGCAAGAACCTTCTTCCTAAGAGGCAAGCCTCTGCTTTAGCTTGATCATTACTGTAAACTGGAAGTATTTAACTTATGACATCACTTTCCCCCACATATGAAGGTACTTTTTTAATGTATGCATATATACATTAAAACATACCTGTATATGTTAATACATATACATA